GGAGGAGACCCACCGCTTGGCCTCGGCTCCGTGGGCTGCGAGAGGAGAAGCAGCAGCAGCCGCCGCCGCCGCCACAGCGAGTGTCGGAGGAGGAGGAGTCTGTGGAGGAGGAGGAGGAGGAGGAGGAGAGATGGCGGCGCAGGCCTGGTTCTCCCTCAGCCACCGCCAAGAAGGGAACCGCCTGCCTCGCCTCGCCTGGCCTCCTCACAGCGACAGCGACGCCGACCGCGGCCTACCGTTACTGCAACAAGCACCACCATCCCCACCCACAACGCCTCAGCCGAACGGTGCCCCCCTTTAAGGGAATTTTGGACTTCAGCCCCCAGAATCCCAGACTATTGGCCAACATGGCTGAGGCTTCTGGGAGTTGAAGTCTAAAATTCCCTTAAAGGGCACTGTTTTTAACGGTTCACTGCCAGGGCCAGGCTCACACTAGCACTGTACACACACATACGCACATATCAATAAAAGGGGGGGGGGGGGAGGTTGCAGACTGCCAGAAATAGTGCAAATTGAGTCCACTTTAAGGGTTAAGGTTAGTGCTAGGGAATCATGGGAATTGTTTTTTTTTTCCCCTGAGACATTGAGCCTTCTCTGTCAGAGAGCTCTGGTGCCACAATAAAATACAGTTCCCATGATTCCCTAAGCCTAAGCCTAAGCCTAAGCCTAAAAGTGGACTCAATTTGCACTATTTCTGGCAGTCTGCAACCCCCCAAAGTGTAGGCCCAACATGACCAGGCGCCCTCCTTTATTTTCCTAAAACACGACCTCTGTTTCCGCCTTGATTAAGGCCTCCCAAAAGGGCCTCCATTTTGACGAGGAGGGGTTTTGTTTTTTGGCTTTCAAAGATAGGGCCGTGTTAGTCTGTAGAATCAGAGTTGTATCACACGGTGTGATGGGGAATTGGGACTTTAAACAATTATTAAGATCAGGGGTAGGCAACCTTTCCCCTTTAAGGGCCGAGGGACTTCAGCTCCCAGAATCCCAGGAGCTATTGGCCAGCATGGCTGAGGCTTCTGGGAGCTGAAGTCCCTCGGCCCTTAAAGGGGAAAGGTTGCCTACCCCTGATTAAGAGCCTGAACAGACTGCCAGAAATAATCCAGTTTGAGACTACTTTAACTGCCATGGCTCAGTGCTAGGGAATCATGGGAATTGTAGTTTTTTTCTGAGGCATTTAGCCTTCTCTGTCAGAGAGCTCTGGTGACACAATAAACTACAGTTCCCATGATTCCCTAGCACTGAGCCAGGGCAGTTAAAGTGGTCTCAAACTGGATTATTTCTGGCAGTCTGTAAAGGCCCTAACCCAAGAAAATCACGTAACTGATATTAAAACACGATTAAAATGAGATTGAGCTTATCACGCGGGGGACAATTGGAAGTATAAACGATTATCCCATTATTATTGTGCAATTGCACTAATGGTGTTCACACAACGTTGTGTTCAAAGTGATATCCTGTGAATAACCCATTATTATCGCACAATTGCGCTAATAGTTTTCACATGATGTTGCGGTGAAACGTGATTAAAGTGCCATTAACCCATGAATAACCCAGCAAGAAACAGCAGCAAATCATTCACAGGATTTTCCTGTGAATGTCTTTTTGGTGTTTATTGCCTGGTTATTCCCTGGTTATTCACAGGATAATGGCTCTTGTGTTAATCTCATTTTAATTGTGTTTTAATGTCAATTGTGCAATTTTCTCTGGTTAATCACTGTTTAAAGTCCCAATTCCCCCCCCCATGATAAACTCCAGAGATGTAGAGAGATCTTGTAGCACCTTTGAGACTCACTGAAAGAAAGAAGTTAGCAGCATGAGCTTTCATGAAGTCTACTTCCTCAGATGCACTTATTGTATTAAAGAAATAGTCTAGGAAAGCTCATGCTGCCAACTTCTTTATTTCGACTTTATTGGTGTGTGCCTGCAAGTCGTTTCCCGCTCATGGTGACCCTACCACAGGGTTGTCTTGGCAAGATTTGTTGAGAGGGGGGCTTGTTATCCTCTGAGGCTGAGAGAGTGTGGCTTGCCCAAGGTCACCCAGTGGGTTTTTATGCTGCACCAGAGTCTATTGTAAGGGTTTCTTTGCCAAGTTTCTGCACAGAGGGGGGTTTGCCATGGCCATCCTCTGAGGCTGAGAGAGTGTGACTTGGCCAAGATCCCATAGGTCCAAAACACACTGCAGAAATCATCCAGTTGGAGACCGCTTTAACTGCCCTGGTTCAATGCTAGGGAATCCTGGGAACTGTAATGTTTATAAGACATTTAGCCTTCTCTATCAGAGAGCTCTGATGCTACAATAAACTACATTTCCCAGGATTCCCTAATACTGAGCCAGGGCAGTTAAAGCGGTCTCAAACTGGATGATTTCTGCAGTGTGTTTTGGATCCCAGTGGATTTTTATGATGGACCAGGACCTATCCCAAGGGTTTTCTTTCTAGGGGTTGGGAGGCTGGGACTAGGGGATTGGGGATGCTTTTAATTCTGTCTTGTTTTAATGCTGTAACCCGCCTCGATTGTTGGGCAGAGAGGCGGGCTATAAATAAAAATTATTATTATTATTATTATTATTATTATTATTATTATTATTATTATTATTTTCTTGGCAAGTTTCTACAGGGGGGATTGTTGTGCCCATCTTCTGAGGCTGAGAGAGTGTGGCTTGGCCATGGTCACTCACTGGATTTACATGGCTTAGCCGGGACTTGAATCCTGGTCTCCAGAGTCATAATCCAATGCTCAAAGCGCTACGCCATCTCTAGCATAGATTTGCCTTTGTATGAGTGCTTTGAGGTGCTATGTGGTCATGGCTGACATTTTACTGGAATGTCCTACATTTTGCGGTGCCTCACCCTCCTTTGTGGTGAGGACACATCTGGGTGACCCTGTGTAGGCCAAAAGAGTGGGGCAGATGGTGGCCTCAGGTACATTTCTTGTGCCTCAGGTGCCTCATTCACACAGAGTGACTAGACGTGGCCTCACCTCAAAGAAGGAACCTCAAAATGTCAGATATTCAACAAAAATGAATGGGAGAAGACCAAAGAAAAGCCAAAGACACTCATACAAATGTAAATTCATGCTCCTTAGGCTGCATCCACACTGCAGAAATAATCCAGTTTGACACAACTTTAACTGCCTTGGCTCAGTGCTATGGCATTCTGGGAAGTGTAGAGTTCTACTTTAGTGCAGCAACAAATTACACTTCCCAGAATGCCATAGCATTGAGCCACAGCCATTAAAGTGGTGTCAAACCTAAATAGGTTTTTTTTTTGCCCAAAAAACGCACAAAAAACCTGGATGCCAGCCATGAAAGCCTTTGACTTCACATCAAACTGAAATATTTATCTAGTGCCAAGGCAGCCCTAGTCATGCTCAAAATGGAGGACATTTTGGAATTCCTCCTAGACAAAAGGAGGAATGTAGGACAGTTCCTGGAAAAGGAGGACCTCTGGTCACCCTGCATTCACAGCCCACACAAAGTCCTGTGTAGACTTTGGCACAACCGGTCCCCCAAACATAATTTTACTGGCAGAAAGGGGGGGAAATCTTCCTGTGACCCTGTCGTACTAGTATGGGAAGGGATTTTGGAGCACCTTTGAGACTAACAGTTTATTTATTTACTTATTTAGAGTACTTATATTCTACTTTTCAGCCACAAAGTCTCTCAGAACAGCTTTGTTGTTGATGATGTGTGCCTTCAAGTCGTTTCCAGCTTATGGTGACCCTATTGTGGGCTTTCTTTGGCAAGTTTCTTCACAAAGGGGGGTTGCCATTGCCATCCTTTGAGGCTGAGAGAGAGCGCGACTTGCCCGAGGTCACCCAGTGGGTTTCCATGGTCAAGCTGCCTTCAGGCTTACAACCTAAAGAGATATGACACAAAAGGAGAA